AACACGATAAGAGCAGGCGTGTTCGGGAGCGATGATGACGAGAGCAGGTTGTGCAGCATGACGGCGTGGTCCATTGCTGCACATGTGCTCTATTCCTAACTGACGGCAGAGAACTTCAGCGAGCCCGTGGAACATGCTTCACCTGTCCCGAAGCTGACTTACCGCATCAACTGTTCGCGTCTCACCACAACCCAAGCGCACCAGCTTACGCGCCACTCAAGAAGGTGTACAGCGACATCCTGTACAGCCGCGAGCCTCGACAAAACGCGTACAACTACACCATCACCTTCATCGACGCAGCCAGTCGATACGTCTGGCACCTAAATCTTCCAAGCAAGGACATGGCCTTCGAAGCCTTCGTCGCTTGGCTTCCAGTAGCAGAACGAGAATCGGGCGTCAAACTAAAATGCTTCCAGTCAGACGGGGGAGGAGAATACACCTCACAGAGGTTCAAGAAATACCTGGCAGAGAGAGGAATCAAGCGACTCATCTCTCTTCCCTACGCCCAACAGCAGGGTGTAGCAGAAAGGATGAACAGGACCCTCCAGAACACCATGCGCAAGCTGCTACGTGGCATGCACCTGCCCAACCACAAGTGGCCCAAAGCAATGGACCACACCGTCATGCTACACAACCTGCTCTCGTCATCATCGCTCCCGAACAATGCATCACCGCATCTGCTGTGGACAGGAAAACTAGGAAGCACAAAAATGTTAAGGGTCTTCGGCTGCATGGTACAGTACCGGCCTCCATCTGCACGAGCTGGCCGATTCTCACAACTCGCACAGTGGGGATTACACCTCGGCATCGAAAAACACAACAACGCATGGAAGATTTTCGACGTCGAGACAAAGGAAACAGTAGCAGCACGTGATGTCATCTTCTACGAAAACCTCACCCTCCGGTATTACCTTGCCAACTTGCAAGAAAGAAACCCCGATCGTTCCGATGGTTTTCTTGGCACCCGAGCCTTCGCCTCGGCAGACGACGAAGCTGACTGGGACGAGCAGAACGTGGAAGGAGCCTCGGAAGAAGCCGGACCTCTCCCCTACTGCTCCGTCAACGTGCCAATGGACCACAAAAACTCACGCGAAAGCATCAACGCCGAAACCTATTACCATTTCGCCGACAACGGTTACGTTACACCTGCAGAAGTCAACACCGACGAAGCAGAACGCGTAGGACCCAACTTCGCACCTGATCCAGAAGCGGGAGACGAATCTGTTTATCCCGCGAACATGTCACTCCCCCGCTACACACAGAGTGGACTCCAGATACTCGGGCTCGTCACCGCAGTCCACGGCACGGCCATTCCTAAGGAGCCTGCCACAGTTCAGCAGGCTCTGGGGGGGGAGCATAAGGAAAAATGGCGCGAAGCCATGGACAGGGAATTAAGGGCATTAGAGAAGCGCAACACCTGGAAAGTCGTCCCTATCAGTGTGGCGCGGAACAAAACGATTCTCACTGGAAAGGGGGTTTTCCGAGTGAAAACAAAAGCACACGGCACCATCGAGAAATTCAAAGCACGCTGGGTCATACGTGGCTTCGACCAAGAACACGGACACGACTTCACCGAGACATTTGCTCCGGTCAGACGACATACCTCACTGCGAATCATCCTCGCGATCGCCGCCATGAAGAAGAAGAAGTTGGGACAAATCGACGTCGCGAACGCATTTCTCTACGCACCTGTCGATGCATAAATCTTCGTCGAGTTACCGCACAGCTCCAAAAGAGAGCCTAACCAAGTCTGTCAGCTGCTGAAGTCGCTCTACGGGATCAAGCAGGCTCCGAGACTGTGGCAACAATACCTGCACGCTCGCCTCATTCGCATCGGCTTTAAGCAACTACCGCACGATCAGGGCATGTACCGGCTTACGAAAGGCACCGATTACATCCTACTAATCGTCTATGTAGACGATCTGCTCTACATCGGCTTGACTAATGGTGTCACAACCTGGTTCGAAGGGGAGCTGCAGCAAGACCTCACACTCACGGTCTCATCTACCGTCACTCAGTACCTCGGGCTCAACATCCAGGAAGAGGAAGACGCGATCTATCTCAGCGCAGCGAAATATGCCGACACCATCGCCCAGCGCTTTGCACTCACACCGACCGTCATCTCCACGCCGTACCGCTACACGACAGGAAACATCAAGGGAGGCTCTACTCTACTCAAGCCCGCCGGCACACGCGACTACCAGAGGAAGCTAGGATGCCTCCTCTTCGAAGCTGTCACCTGCCGCCCGGACCTATCATACTCTGCAAGCCAGCTCGCCACCTACCTCAAGAAGCCTGAAACGGAACACCTGGCGGAGCTCGACCGCGCTCTTCACTACCTTGTCAGCACCCCGACGATCGGTCTGACCTACCACAAGAACGCAACTACAACGCCTAAGCTAATCGGCTACGTCGACGCCGATCACGCGGGCGACTCCGAGAACAGACGCTCGCGCACCGGCTACATCTATCGGTTCGAACCCATCGGACCTATCTCCTGGCAGTCGAGCAAACAGGAATTAATCGCGCTCTCCTCAGCTGAAGCAGAATATATAGCACTCTGCTCAGCCACCAAGGAAGGACTCTACCTTCGCGAACTCCTGGAAGAAGCGAAGCTAGCTCAGTTACCCAGCTTCACCCTGTTCTGCGACAACCAGTCAGCAATTCGCATCGCCAACAAGAACGGCTTCACGAACAGGACGAAACACATCGCCCTGCGATATTTCTTCGTGAAGGACGAGATCGAGAAGGGGAGACTCGAGCTATCATACTGCCCCACATCCGAGATGGCAGCTGATTACTTGACCAAGAAGCTCGGAAAACAGAAGTTCGAGTAATGCATGCTGCTGAGTGGACAGAGCCACGTCACCAACAGCGACACTCCAGAAGCGAAGGGGAGTGTCGGAAACAATCGAGCTTAAGCGCCTCTGTCGTGTCGAAACACCAAGACACAAGCGAAGCAAAGCATATCGAGGCACCAGCGAGTCAACCCTCGGAGGTTGAAGTAACTGCTGGAGGTTATGCGAAAGTCAAAGGTCAGCGACCTTTGACCTGACAAGTACAGCGCGACAGCAAGGACACACAACTGACTCGCTACAGAGCAGTTGCCCGATTCGTCACTGTATCGAACCGCAACAGCAACAGTAAAGCAGTGATAAATGTATCTCTTCACATTCCTTGTACTCTTATACAATCCTGTATCTCTTTGCTTTAATCAATCGACTTTGCCCTCACATACTAGCGCAAGGTGGTTCACAATTCTTCACGAATCGCTTCCGCTATTACATCAGTCCTACCCAGAGTTCACCCCTGCAAATATCCTAAGGGATTTTCTTAGCCCAACAGAAATATTATGTGTGGCTACATGCACGCTGCACTAGCAGACGTGTGGCTGTGATAAATACCCATTGAATGTTTCATGATGACATGTACCAATTTTGTAATTGGATGTATTTTGGACTCAGCTCACTGAGCTTTATCGAATCCAGGTGAATTCAATCCTCGATTGTTTTCGTAGGCTGACAGACAAATGACGGCCATCACGCCAGAATGTGTCTACTCTTTTCAGGTCAAAGATACAGATGGATGTCAGATGGTTTAGAGTCAAACGATGCGGTACACCATGGTTGTCTGGCTGGCTCCTCTCCTTTTCGAACCTCATTGCACATGGCACACTGAAGGATTGCAGGTGTTCGTTTAGCTACGGTCCAAAGCGGTACATACTAGACCCCGCTCTGTATTGTACGAAACCCTACTGAACCGCACTGAGCGATTACTGATAGTTGATCGCCAGCCTCCTTCCTGCCAGTCAAGGAATCTGGCTCTGCAGGCGAACTGCACGGCAGCCTGGATGCCGAGCCTGTCGTCGCTGCTGTGTAACGATGGTGGCGATACCGATGTTGTCGATAGCGACGGACGCAGCACTGATGGTGATAACACTGCGACATTTAACGAATGTCACCCGAACAGAAATGACTGTCAATCTTGATCGAGCATTTGGGGGGTGAAGGATTACTCGAGAGTCAGTCATGAGTAACAGTACGCAGCCGTGGAGCCAGCAGATAGGCGTTTTGAAGTCTCTGGGTTCGCCAGCCTCCTCATATCTCCGCGGCTCGTAGCTAAATTGGTTCGAATCGAGTGAAGTGCCGTCTTAGAACAGCGCTCGAAAAAACTATTTCGCTTGTGGTCGCCCGAATTTGGATTAGGGTTGAAAGGTAGGCGGACGAAAGGAGTTTCCTGGGGGAAGTATGGAGGAGGATTTCCTGCTAGATCAGCGTCGTTTTGGCGGAGATTCGAGCCAAGATTCGGCTGGACATTTTGGCCGCGGGTGTGATGGGATCGAAGGCTTCGATATCATCAACACCGATACAGATTGCTACGAACCAGTTTCTCTTATTGCATCTGAAACTGTTAACGAAGAAGGGCAGCCACGTGGTGAGCTCACAAGCGTACCATCTGACGTGGCAAACCCAAGTGTTATGATGATTGGTGACGTGGAAATCCCGTTGGTGATTCCTCCAGGCTCGTCAGCTGACTCTCCCCTCAGTGGATGCGATTTAGAAGCCATTCTTGACACGTCACCAACTGACATCGATACCCTGATTGACACGTCACCATCCCCAGCAGCTCTTAGTTTTCCCTCTCCACCTAATCCTCCTTTTCAGTCATTTATCCCATCGGAGATTGAGAGGATTGAGAGGACCACACAAATCCCGTTTTACGAAAGAAATCCTCCTGAGAAGCTTCCTTCCAGGATTAAGAAGCTTCCATTCGGTTCTACGAACCTTCCCAGGAACACGTCACCTCCTGGCAAGATTCGCAGGGGCGATCTGACCACTCGCCTGGCGTCAATAATCCGTGAAATCTCTACCAAGCCTCGGCCGGCGGCTCGGCCCATGCCAGGCAACCGAGCCACGCAATCAAGCTCGAATAAAGGCTTGGTATCAGGCCCAGAAAGTGGTAAATCAGACACGGAATACAGTGAAGTTCAGGCAAAGGGGATGGATGATGTCGGCGTTGCACCTGACCAGACGACCATGCTTGAAAAACCAAGCATGGGTTCGGGTGTGAGAGCAGGTCAAGGGGAAGCAAGGGGGGTAGCAGAGGGGGTAGTAGTAGGAGGGGGAGGCTTACCAGCAGCTAGGGGTGATGTGCAAGGGGGGGTTGGGACAGGTACGGCATTGGAGTTGGTGGGTGTGCTGCAGAGCCTGTCTAGTGGGCTTGAACGGTTGAAGGAGCTGCAGGGGGTGATGGAGGAGCAGCAGAGGCAGCAGCAGCAGCTGATGCTGCTGCAGCAGCGGCAGCAGATGCAGATGCAGCAGGAACAGCCGACTCAGCAGCAGCAGCAAACGCAGTGGCAACACCAGCAGCCGATTCAGCATGACCAGCAGCAGCAGCAGCAGCAGCAGCAGACACACTGGCAGCTGCAGACAATACAGCAGCAGCGGCAGCAGGGGAACGAGCACAGGACTTTGCAGCTGGTGCAGTCAAGAGCACCACTGCAGGGGCGATTGCAGCTTCAGCAGCAGCAGCAAGGTTCCGTCCCACTCCACCAGCTTCAGACCCAGCACGTTCAACTTGTAACTCAAGACATCCTAGCCTCCCGACTCCGCCACCATCCACCCGGCCTCACCCTCTCCTCACATCCCCCAACTTCCTCCATTTCCCCACCTTCTCACGCCCCCTCCACTCAAAACCCACCCCTCACCACCGCTCTCCACCTCCGCCCAAACCTTCAATTCGACTTCTCCATCTTCGCAGAGTCATCCCTCCGTTGCGTGGGCGTCCCCTCACAGTCCAGCAGGGAGGAGGAGAGGGAGCGGCGCCTGCGGCAACACGTGTTGGCGCTAGCAGAGGCGCACGCAGTGGGGGACTGGGCGCTGGTGCGGAGGTGGGGGAAGAAGGTGCGGGGGGAGGCGAGTGCGGAGGGGGATGTGGTGCAGCGCGTGGCATGGTACATGCTGCAGGCTCTGGAGGCGAGGGCGGATGGCACTGCTGTTGTCAAGTGGCGAGCACCTATTGAGTTCCAAGTGAAGGTGAGAAGGTGGGGTGTTGGTTGGTGAGGGGAGGGTGGCAGCGCATGGCATGGTACATGCTGCAGGCTCTGGAGGCGAGGGCGGATGGCACTGCTGTTGTCAAGTGGCGAGCACCTATTGAGTTCCAAGTGAAGGTGAGAAGGTGGGGTGTTGGTTGGTGAGGGGAGGGTGGCAGCGCATGGCATGGTACATGCTGCAGGCTCTGAAGGCGAGGGCGGACGGCACTGCTGCTGTCAAGTGGCGAGCACCCATCGAGTTCCAAGTCAAGGTGGGGCTGGGAGATGGGTTTCTGTGGAGCTGGCTTTTGGTGTGGTCCCGGCTTTTGGTGTGGTCCCGGCTTTTGGTGTGGTCCTGGCTTTTGGTGTGGTCCCGGCTTTTGGTGTGGTCCTGGCTTTTGGGTTGATTCTTGGTGTGCAGTGAGCGTTATGCTGGAATGTATGTTGGATTGAACGCCAGTAATGTGGCTCGTACAACGTCTGGATGGTAGGGGATATGAAAGCATATCCTCAAATAGGTGTATTGGAACTTGGGGAAATATACGGTACCCTAACCTCAACACTCAACATCCACTCAAGCTCTATCGCTTACTCTCTCCCATTCGACCCCCCGTCCTACTTGCCCCCCTACAAGTGCTTCTATAGGTAGAGATTGTGTCATCGAATCTAGACACCTATTATATTTTTTCGTTTCACTATACTGACGGGAAATGTATGATATGTCATTCCAAGGAGGACATTTGAAGGTGAAAGGTCACAGCTTGGAGCAACTTGTAAACACCGTGTCAGGCACTGATACTTCTATGCCAAATCAGTAGAATCAGCTGTCAGTGGCACAGATTTTCTTCTTTATGCCAAGACATGGTGGAAATTTTGAACTTCATATTTTCTACAAAGGCAAGAGGATTTTTTTAGATGAGTACAAGATCTTGAAATTTGGTGGTCGATTCAGTAAGTTTTTCCATGTAATTTTAAAGCCTCGGGAGTTTTCGCTGTCGTATGCATTCTTGATTAAATTTGAGATCAATCTTGGTGGGACGAGAGCAAGAGAACTTGATATGACAGCGAGAACTCTCGATGCTTTAAAATCTTATTATAGAACCCACTAAACTGACCACCATATCTCAAGATCATGTACTCGCCTAGAAGATCTTGCCTTTGTAGCTAATATAGAGTCTCAAACATCCACCATGTTTTGGCGTACGGAATTAAGCATGTGTTGACGGCTTATTGTACTGGTATTGCGTTCACCCGCTGCTCAAAGCCATGGTCTTTCACCTTTGATAGGTCCTCCTTGGAATGACATTTCATACATTTACCGTTAATATAGTAAAATGAGCAAAGGTAGCATAGTCTGTTTCTGAGTTCACAATCACTTATACAGTCCATATCAATGAAATCACTGGCAGGGGGGGCAGGAATTTTCGAAACTCACCTCCAACAATAGGAAATCGAGTTGCAAAATTTGTTGCTAAGGACGGGAAGCTTGTAGCTTTGAGGCTCGAATCTACAGTGTCTCACTCTTCTTCCCTCCTTCTCTTTCCATCTCTCGCCCATTTGCCCAAGCCCTTTGTTTCTTACGCTCTCAGCCTCCCATCATCTTCCCCTTTCTCCCACGCACAGTCTGTGCCAGATGCGGTGGCTGCAGTGGGCTATCCGGACAGGACTACTGACCAACATTGTATGGTAGATCAACGGTCAAGTCTTGAGACACCACTCTGGAGGCACCTCAACACCCCTCTCGGCCTGGACTATCTCTCCTTTCCCTCTCGCACTTGCACAAAGAGCGCAGCAGATTTGGTAGCTAGCATCAGTAGGTCACTCCCATGAGAGACCATCGTGTGATTCGACTCTCGAGGCACCTCAGAACACATCCTATCGCTCTCCACCACTCTTTACCTCCCACAGTGTGCAGCAGATGTGATAACAGCAGTGGGTTACTCCTATGAGATGAGACCAACATGGTGTGCAGGATCAACTCTCGAGGCAAGCACCTCAAAACACCTCCCTCTATCCCTTTTTCCTCTCTTACACAGAGCGCAATAGATGTGATGGCAGCAATGGGGCGCTCGTACGAGACCAGTATCGTGTGGATCAACTTCTAAACCCCCTCATAACACCTCCCTGTCTCTCTCAACCGCTCTTCACCACACACAGTCTGCAGAAGATATGATGGCAGCAGTGGGCCACTCCCATGAGACCAGCATCGTGTGGATCAACTTTGCCTTTGCTGCTCTCCTCCATGAGGTGCCTCGTGCTCTCTGCACCACTGCCACATGCACGGCACCACTAGCAACACCATCTGCACCTCCAACAGCAGCAGCAGCAGCAGCAGCAGCACCACCACCACCACCACAAGCAGCAGCAACAACAGCTGCAGCAATGTCACTTTCCCCGCGCCGCATTCACGTGGTGATGTTTGGCATCATCGGTGCACCTCAGTGGGCTTCCCTCCTCTGTCGCATCGCCACTGCCTGTGGCTTCCCTGCTGCTGCCGCCTCTGCTGCTGCTGCTGGTGCTGCTTCTGCTTCTGCCTCTTCTGCATCTGCTCATGCTCCTCCTTCCTCTGCTGCTCCCACCCTTGCTGCGGCCGCTGCCACCACGATTGCTGCCAGTCCAGGAACCAGCACCACAGCGAGTGAGCCTGGCAGCAGCAGCCGCAGCAGCGGAAGAGGCACCTGTACCATGTGTGGAGGAAGGCAAAGGAGCAGTAGCAGCATCAGTGGCAGTGGCAGTGGCAGTGGCAGTGGTGGAAGGGGGGTAGGTACAGGTAAATGCAGCAGTTGTACTCCTTTGGAGTCTGCTGCTGCTGCTCATGCTGTCCTGTTTTCAGGACGGGAAAGGAAAGTTGCAAAGAAAAGGTTTACGGCACAGCAGCAGCAGCCACATGAGGAGGAAAATACTCGTTATCAACATCATCACGAGCAGCGACAGCAGCAGCAGCAGCACCCCCATCCGACCCCACCCCTCTCCATCCGCGTGACAGGCATCAACGGCGGCACAGTGCAGCTCGACTCTGCCCTCGACGCCTCCACCTTCGGCCACCAGTTCTTCGGGCAGCTCGCAAAAGTTTTGGGGCTGCCCTTGACGTTTGAGATGGTGGATGTGCCTCTGGAGTCGCTGCATCCAGGCATGGTGAAGGTTCATCCGGGGGAGGAGGTGGTGGTGGTCTCCCTCTGGACGCTCATGCTCTTTCCAGATGACTCGGTTCTCCGGCACAACCCACGAGATGCCGTGCTCAAGGTGCGATGTGGTGTTTATGTTGAGAGGTTAAGGGGTGCAGGTGAGACAGAAGTTGGATAGCTTGCAAAAAACGAGGTGGTGGTTGTGGCATGCTCCCTCTGGTCGCTCATGCTCTTTTTGAGTCGGCTCAAAACATGACTCGCTCTTCATCTCTCACCCTGTTTTGAGTCGGCTCAAAACATGACCCGCTCTTCATCTCTCACCCTGTTTTGAGTCGGCTCAAAACACGACCCCCTCTTCATCTCTCACCCTGTTTTGAGTCGGCTCAAAACACGACCCCCTCTTCATCTCTCACCCTGTTTTGAGTCGGCTCAAAACACGACCCCCTCTTCATCTCTCACCCTGTTTTGAGTCGGCTCAAAACACGACCCCCTCTTCATCTCTCCCCTGTTTTGAGTTGGCTCAAAACACGACCGCCTCTTCATCTCTCACCCTGTTTTGAGTCGGCTCAAAACACGACCCGCTCTTCATCTCTCACCCTGTTTTGAGTCGGCTCAAAACACGACCCCCTCTTCATCTCTCACCCTGTTTTGAGTCAGCTCAAAACACGACCCCCTCTTCATCTCTCGCCCTGTTTTGAGTCGGCTCAAAACACAACCCCCTCTTCATCTCTCGCCCTGTTTTGAGTCGGCTCAAAACACGACCCCCTCTTCATCTCTCCCCTGTTTTGAGTCGGCTCAAAACACGACCCCCTCTTCATCTCTCACCCTGTTTTGAGTCGGCTCAAAACACGACCCCCTCTTCATCTCTCTCCCTCCCTATCCTTCTCCACCGTACCCTGTCCTCCAGTGGATCCAGGCACTCAAGCAACGCCTGGGGCTGCCAGCAGAGGTTGTTTCTGTCTCCTCTCAAAACCCTTCCATTCCCTTCCACCCAAACCCCTACAAACCCCTCCAGTGGATCCAGGCACTCAAGCCCCGCCTGGGGCTGCTAGCAGAGGTTGACGCAGCCCTCAACAGCCCCTTCTCCCCTTCCCTTCCCTTCCATTCAATCCCAACCCCGACAAACCCCTCCAAACCCCTCCAAACCCCTCCAGTGGATCCAAGCCCTCAAGCCCCGCCTTGTCCTCCTAGCAGAGGTCGACGCGGCCCTCAATGGCCCCTTCTTCCTCGCCCGCGTCCGCGAAATCTTCCGCACCATGCTTGCTTTCATCTCAGCCGTCCATGCCACCATGCCCGATTCCGCGATCTCGCCCGTCCGTTTCATCTGGGAGGGGCTGATGTTCCGCGAGCTCATCAACTGCGTCGGATGCGAGGGGATCCAACGGCTGATACGCGCCGAGAGGCTGGAGCAGTGGGAGGAGCGGATGGGGAGGTTAGGGTTTGAGGAGGTGGGGCTGGGGAGGGAAGCATTGGCTGCTATGAGGGAGACTACGGAGGGAAGGGATGGGAGATTTGAAGTGGTGTCGGTGGGGGGTGCAGCGAGGCTCATGTGGAAAGGACAGCCGGTGCTGGCTGTGTCTGCTTGGAGGTGATTGGTGCATGTGAGGGAGGGAGGTGATGGTGCAAGCCAGGGCCGTCACTCGTGTGTCAAATGTTGCACATTGATGTGATAGTGTTAAGATACTAGCGTTTAGAGGGCTTAGGAGCCATAGCTAGTGAGAGTCTTAGTAGCTTAGGTTTAGTTGAGTTCGAGGGTGAGGAGAGTGTCGAGAGAATTGTGAAGGAGAATGAGGGCTTCACTATAGGTTTGCAAAAACATATAGCAAAGTAAAAAAGAAGGTGCACCACCAAACAAAGTTTATAATAACTACAGTAACTACAGCTACAGGCAGTTACAGATATATTCTGACACTCCCCCATAACTGCCTGCAGCAGGAGCTAATGCAGAGACACCCCCTGAAGGGGTACATCAAGTGTAGCAGAAGGAGAGGGCAAGTGAGGAGGAGGGACTAAATGAGGAGAAGCTGCTGGCAGGTGAAGCTGCTGGCTCCAAGGTGGCTGCTTCCTGGAACCTTCCTCAGTCCTCCAACTCCCCCTTCCACACTCCTTGACAACCCTAGCACCTCTCCCCCAGCTCCCCCACACCCTCACACCCACCCCCCCCCAGCGGCAGCTGCAGCAGTGGGAGAGAAAGGAGGAGGAGGGGAAGGGGATCACACACACCCATCACCCCCATACCCGCCACCCCCATAGCCTCCGTTCCACGGCTGCACGCGCAGCAAGGAGACGAAGAAGAGGGGGGGGGGGGGCAGGGGCGACAGAGCAGAACAGAGCGCACGAGGGCGCAGGCAGAGCAGAGCGCACAAGGGCGCGGGCAGCAGCAGGGCGCACGAGGGCGCGGGCAGCAGCAGAGCGCACGAGGGCGCAGGCAGAGCAGAGCGCACAAGGGCGCGGGCAGCAGCAGGGCGCACGAGGGCGCGGGCAGCAGCAGAGCGCACGAGGGCGCAGGCAGAGCAGAGCGCACAAGGGCGCGGGCAGGAGCAGGGCGCACGAGGGCGCGGGCAGCAGCAGAGCGCACGAGGGCGCAGGCAGAGCAGAGCGCACAAGGGCGCGGGCAGCAGCAGGGCGCACGAGGGCGCGGGCAGCAGCAGACGGCAACGGGCGGCACAGGCACGGGCAGCAACGGGCGGCAACAGGCAGCACAGGCATGGGCAGCAACGGGCGGCAACAGGCAGCACAGGCACGGGCAGCAACGGGCAGCACAGGCACGGGGAGCAACGGGCGGCAACGGGCAGCACAGGCATGGGCAGCAACAGGCAGCACAGGCACAGGCAGCAACAGGCAGCAACGGGCAGCACAGGCACGGGCAGCAACAGGCAGCAACGGGCAGCACAAGCACGGGCAGCAACGGGCAGCAACGGGCAGCACGGGCACGGGCAGCAACAGGCAGCAACAAGCAGCACAGGCACGGGCAGCAACGGGCGGCAACGGGCAGCACAGGCACGGGCAGCAACGGGCGGCAACAGGCAGCACAGGCACGGGCAGCAACAGGCAGCAACAGGCAGCACAAGCACAGGCAGCAACAGGCAGCAGCGGGCAGCACACGCACGGGCAGCAACGGGCGGCAACGGGCAGCACCGGCACGGGCAGCAACGGGCGGCAACGGGCAGCACAGGCACGGGCAGCAACGGGCGGCAACAGGCAGCACAGGCACGGGCAGCAACGGACAGCACAGGCACGGGCAGCAACGGGCAGCAACGGGCAGCACAGGCACGGGCAGCAACGGACAGCAACGGGCAGCACGGGCACGGGCAGCAACAGGCAACAACAAGCAGTAGAGGCACGGGCAGCAACAGGCAGCAACAAGCAGCACAGGCACGGGCAGCAACGGGCGGCAACGGGCAGCACAGGCACGGGCAGCAACGGGCGGCAACAGGCAGCACAGGCACAGGCAGCAACAGGCAGCACAGGCACAGACAGCAACAGGCAGCACAGGCACGGGCAGCCGTACCGAGTCCAGGAGCAGCGGTGCATACAGCTGTGGGGTCGGCGCCGTGGGCTGCTGCTGGGGCGGCTGCTCCAGGCGCTGGGGCGGCTGCTCCAGGCGCTGCTGCTGCTGGGGCGGCCGCTGCAGTGGCGGCGGCTCCAGGGGCTGCTGCTGTTGGGGCGGCGGCTCCAGGGGCTGCTGCTGCTGGGGCGGCTGCTCCAGGCGCTGCTGCTGCTGGGGCGGCTGCTCCAGGCGCTGCTGCTGCTGGGGCGGCGACTCCAGGGGCTGCTGCTGCTGGGGCGGCTGCTCCAGGCGCTGCTGCTGCTGGGGCGGCCGCTGCAGTGGCGGCGGCTCCAGGGGCTGCTGCTGTTGGGGCGGCGGCTCCAGGGGCTGCTGCTGCTGGGGCGGCTGCTCCAGGGGCTGCTGCTGAGGTCCAGGGGCGGCGCTGGTGCAAGATAGGCCCGCGCTCGGCTGCAACGCTGGCGCGGGCGCAGGTGAGGCAGAGGCGGTGGCCAGGGGGGAGGGCGCCGCGACGAGTAGGAACGGCGCCCAAGGGGTGCCGCTACGAGTAGGGGCGACGCCCCAGGGGCGCCGCGACGAGAAGGGGCGGCGTCCAGGGGGCGCCGCGACGAGCAGTAGCGACGCCCCGCGGGTCCCGGCGTGGCGACACGACGAGCAAGGCGACGCGGTGCGGATCCTGCAGGGGCGTCGCGACGAGCAGGAGCGGCGACGCCCGGGTCCCGCAGGTGCGTCGCGACGAGCATGAGCGGCGCCTCGCAGAGCGCCGCGAAGTGGAGGGTACGGGCGGGCAAAACAGGCCCGCCCGTGGACGTGAGGCAGGCGCGCATGCGGCGTGAGGGCAGGCCACGCGCGGGGCAGGAAGACGCCGCGCGCCCAGGGCGCACGGCGGGCAAAAAATCGCCGTGCGCCTCTGCCGCGCACCCGAGGCGCACGGCAAGATGATAGGCAGCGGAAGCAGGAAGGCAGCAGAAACGTACCTGCTCTGAATACCATGTTAAGATACTAGCGTTTAGAGGGCTTAGGAGCCATAGCTAGTGAGAGTCTTAGTAGCTTAGGTTTAGTTGAGTTCGAGGGTGAGGAGAGTGTCGAGAGAATTGTGAAGGAGAATGAGGGCTTCACTATAGGTTTGCAAGAACATATAGCAAAGTAACAAAGAAGGTGCACCACCAAACAAAGTTTATAATAACTACAGTAACTACAGCTACAGGCAGTTACAGATATATTCTGACAGATAGGCCGTAGTGAGTTGCACTTTAGGGGGGTACTGCTTCTAGGGTTGCTTATTTGTACCCCATTCGTTTCTATTCCTTACATTTCGTTGCATTCCTATTCTAAGATGGTATCACGAGTAGGTTAGATCCTCGTTCGTTTTTAGCTAGCCTCCGCGCCCTACGCGCCCTTCGTGCTCTCGCGCCCTCCGCGCCCTCCGCGCTCTCTCCTCGCGCCTAGCCCGCGCCCTCCCGCGCTGTCCAGTCTGTCGCGCGCCCTCCTTAGACCTCCGCGCGCCCTCCAAACCCGTCGTGCGCCCTCCTTAGACTGCCGCGCGCCCTCCTCAACCGTCGCGCGCCCTCCTTAACCTTTGCGCGCCCTCCTTAGACCGTCGTGCGCCCTCCTTAGACCGTCGCGTGCGCCCTCCTTAGACCGTCGTGCGCTTACCGCACACCTGCGTGCACTTACCACACACCTGCGTGCGCTTACCGCACGCCTGCGTGCACTTACCGCATCACTCTGTGTGCGCTTCCCGCACACCTGCGCGTGCTTTCCGCACACCTGCGTGCACTTACCACACACCGCGTGCACTCACCGCACACATGCGTGCACTTACTGCACACCTGCGTACACTCACCGCACACCTGCGTGCGCTTCCCGCACACTTGCGTACACTTACCGCATCACTCTGTGCGCTTACTGCATCTCTCTTACCTTCACCTGTGCACCGGTCTCACACCATTCATACTGCACTTGGCTCCCGGCTCAGCGGCTGGCAGCCGCTCTTCCCTCCGGTAGCGCCACCTAGGTTCGGTTAGAGCCCCGCCCCACGACTATTTTCTCGCCGACTGTCTCTCGTCGGTTTCCCCGCTGGCGTCCCTAGCCCTCCGTAGTTTTCCTCCTCGTTCTTAGCTCCGCCTCTGCCGTGCTCCAGCCGCCTCTAGCATGGGCTCCGCTATGGAGGCCCGTCGCCTCCGTTTTGATGCTGAGGGACGCCCGATCGAGTTCGGTACCTGGCAGCGCCAGACCACGCGCTTCCTCACCAGCCAGCGACAGGACGGCGCCACTCTGTGGGCTCACGCGTCTGGTGCCCTACAGGCCCCCCCGTCCCTCGCCGCCCTGCCTACCACCCCGGAGCCGACCCCTACGGCCCAGGCGGAGTACAACCGTCGGGTCCCGGCCAGGGACGTGTGGCTCTCGCGTGACACTGCCGCCGCTCTCACACTGTCGGAGCTTCTCCCCCCGACTGAGGCCGCCCACTTTGACCAGGTGGAGACAGCCGAGGAGGTGTGGGATGCTATTGTTGCCCGCTACTCCACCCCCTCCTCTGCCTCCCTCAGTCGCCTCCTCATGCCGTTTGTGTTTCCCGACCTAGGCTTGTTTGCGACTGTTTCCGATCTCGTGACTCACCTCCGCTCGCTTGACGCCGGTTTCCGTGCTGCCTGTACCGACGCACAGCTCCATGTTGCTCCCCCCCCCATGTGGCTCACTGTGCACTGGTTAGTCACCCGCCTCCCTGACCGCCTTGCCACTGCCCGCGACGCGCTTCTTCAGAAGCACCCCACTGAGCTCACTATCGACCTCCTAGCGACTGCTCTAGGGACCATCGAGAGCAGTCTCCTCACCGTTGCCTCCGCCATTGATGCGGTGGCCCCCCGTCTCTTTGCGGGGTGTGCCGCCCCTCAGCTTCCCACTTTCACCGCTACCCGAGCTTCTGCTGCTGTGTCGGTCTCTGAGGACACCGCTTCCGTTTCTGCCGCAGACCGGCAGAAACGGGGCAAGAGTGGCAAGAAGGGCGGGAAGGGGGGAGGTGGAGGCGGTGGAGGCGGCGGTGGAGGTGGCGGTGGAGGTGGGAGCGCCGGTGGTGGCGGAGGCGGCGGCGGCGGCGGTGCACCTGGGGGAGGGGGGCTTGGAGGAGGTGCTGGACAGACAGGCCCACCCACAGGTGGTGGCCCGACCGGTGGGGGCGTTCCCCCCCAGCAGCACCAGCAAGCGCCGCAGCAGTTCCAGCAGTGGGGGCCCCCGCTGCAGTGGGGTCCGCAGCAGCACTGGGGTCCCCCGCTGCAGTGGGGTCCGGGAGGCCCTGGGAGCACTAGCCGCAGCAGCAGTACTTCCAGCTGGGCCCCTCGTCCCCCTCGCCGTAACGCTGGCCCGTGCACCCACTGGTGCGTCACCGGGCCGGGTAGCCCTTGCCTCTGTGGTCGCGACGACCACTCTGCCGCGCGGTGCTTCCGCCGCCTCGACGACCTCTACCGGGCTCGTTGGGGCCCTCTGGCGGCCACGCCTCGCTGGTCTCGTCTATTAACCCGTAAGATTGATGTATTTGCTTTGTCCATGGACGATGCGCGTCAGCATGCTTTGTATGTCGATGCTGACTTTAGTGCTGATGGATCTGGGTGCTCACGTGTTCGTCGGTTAGCCTGCTTGCCTCCTGCTAGTGTAGCCTTGTGCCTGTCTAGCTTAGGTGCTTGTGTTGCTGCTCTAGGTGCTTGTGTAGCGACTGGGTCGGGTGACCCACCGGCTGAGGCCTCTCTTTTGTTCACGCTGGACTCGGGCGCGTCTCAGTGCTTCTTCCGCGACCACACGACCCTTACGCCAGTGCTCACACCTGTGTCGGTGGCTCTGGCTGATCCTACCTCTGGACCAGCCGTTGCGCGTAGCTCCACCACCCTCCCGTGCCCTGTGGTCCCCTCTGGTGTCCTGCGTGGCCTCCACATCCCCTCGTTCACTCGGAACTTGGTGGGTGTTGGATACCTCCAGGACAGGGGGATCACAGTTACCTTCGTGGGGGGTGGGCGGACTGCAATCTGTACTGACGCTACCACATGTGCGGTTCTGGCCACGTTCACCAGGGAGCCCCGCTCCGGTCTCTACGTTCTCGACACCGAGCGCTTCCCGGTCGCGTCCTCCCCTCAGGTCGTTGCGTCCCCTCCGGCCCAGGTCTCCAGTCGTGTCGCTGTGTCCAGTCCAGTCGCCGCGTCTTGCTCCTGTCGCTCTCTCGCCCACCGCACCGTCCTGTGGCACCACCGTCTTGGCCACCCGTCGATCCCTCGCCTTCGTGGCATGCTCAGTCAGGGACTCGTCACACGTCTCCCACGCACCTTCCCGTCGCTCCCTCTCTCGCTTGCCCCTCCTTGCTCTCCTTGCGTCGCTGGTCGCTTATGCGCCACTCCCCACTCCTCCTCCCTTCGTCCGGCCACCGCTCCCTTCGAGACTCTCCACTTGGACGTCTGGGGCCCTGCCCCGACGCAGGGGTCTGGGAGGGAGCGTTAATTTCTGGTGGTCGTCGACGACTTCTCCGGGTACACCACAGTGTTCCCTCTTGCGAAGAAGTCTGAGGTGACTGCTACGCTGATCAGGTGGCTTCTAGCCACTGAGGGCACTCGAGGTCGTCGAGTCAGTTGTCTCCACTCCGACCGTGGGGGCGAGTTTCGCTCCGGCATTCTCGGCGGATTTTGCGGCGAACAGGGCATCACCCAGTCCTTGACGCTGCCTGAGTCCCAACAGCAGAATGGGGTTGTTGAGCGCCGCATAGGCTTGGTCATGGACATCGCCCGCACGTCCATGATCCATGCCCGTGCGCCCCATTTTCTGTGGCCCCACGCGGTTCGCTACGCCGCA